ACGTAAACATTTATATTTATGAAGAGATTATGGATATGGGGCAGTATTACACGATAGGCTTTCTGCAGTTGTAGCCAAAACATGATACAAACATTATAGAACATTGTGGTATGGAAATTCAGAAGTGATGCCTTAAGTGTTAGTAAGGATTAACAGGTATATCTGATTTCAGGGTGGATTTAAATCAAGTTGATTTAAATCATAATTTTTAAACAGCAACTATATTCGCTTGTCACCCAGCAGCTCCTCTTCTGACCCACTGGTTGACTCACCGACAGTCCCAATCACTTTAATGGGAGGGCTGGTGATGCGGCATTGACCCAACAAGATGAGGGACATGGGGGGTAGCAGGTAAGGGGATGCCCGCTAACAGGCACTGTCCTGATGGATCTGAAATGACAGATGCTCTTTAAATGTAAAGACTCATTCTTGCTGGTAATTAGAATATTTAATATTATTATTTGCAAACAAAATGAAGGTTTCCTATTGAGCTTGCAGAGAGCTTGGATTCATTGAATGAGTTTACAAAAAATGTAAATATTGTAGAATAATACATCCTGATCCTACCTACCGCACCAGAATATAAGACGCACCAAGGGTTTGAAGAGACAATTTTTTTAAAAAATAAAAATAATAATTTAACTCTGATTTTTTTTAAATCAAATTTGTTTTAATAAATTGCTTTTGGAGTAAAAATCTATCTTAGATAGTTTTCTATTTAAGATACATTAATAATTTAATTTATTCAGTATGAAATGGAACTTAGTTATGAGGCTGCATATTCTGCAATATTTACATTTTTGGTAAACTCATTCAATGAATCCAAGCTCTGCAAGCTAAATAGGAAACCTTCATTTTGTTTGCAAATAATAATATTAAAGATTCTAACTACCACCAAGAATAAGTCCTTATATTTAAAGAGTACCTGTCATTTCAGATCTATCATGGTGGCGCCTATTAACTGCCATCCACTCACCTGCTGCCCGTCATAACCCTCACTTTGTTGTGTCACTGCCGCATCACCAGCCATCCCATTAAAAGGAATGGGACTGTCGGTGAGTCAACAGCGGGTCAGAGGAGGAGCCACTGTGGGACAGAGATGACAGTTGCTCTTTAAAAAATATTGAATTAAATCAGTGGTTCCCAATGTGAGACCCACTCCCCAAAGGGGGACAACTTGATTTTTAATGGGGGCAATTTAAACCTTGTTTAAACCAAGTTAATGGCCTTCAAGGCTTCTTCCATGTGAGTAGAGTTCACTTGTTGAATAAAGTAAGAATTATATGTCACTGGGGGTGTGCGTGTCAGGATTTTAAAGATGCTTAGGTGGGGCATGGCAAAAAAAAGGTTGGGAACCATTGATTTAAATCAATGCCTTTTTATCAGTGATTTAAATCACCGATTAAAATCAAATCCACCCGGCAGTCAACTAACTTAATAAACTTGATAAATTGCTATAAAATTCATTCCTCCAGCAGCAATCCAATATGGAGTATGCTACTTTTAATAAGCATTAATGAATTCAATTCACACACAAAAATCACATTGCACATAGATTTTTACTCCTGAAGCACAGCACAAATAGTTGTCACTTACTCCATAACAAGGTAAGAACTGGCCAAATCTAACCTCTGCCTTAAAGTTAATGTTCAAATCAGCTTTTAATTTTAAGCAGCCAAAATGATTTCTGTATTACTCATGCAGTTTATTTTTGTATCTCAAAGTATTACTTCAATGTTTTCAACATGTGTCACGTGGTGTTAGAACTAGGCTATATGCATAATCAACCAAGATACTAAGCAGCCTCCTTACAGCCCGTTTTATTTTATTTTCATAGTACAAAGCTCTATAGTAATAAAGGCCTCCAGCCATTCTATTAAAAGAAAATGCAATTAATTTCTGGAAGAGACATTTATATCTAATATAGCCCTGAATTAAGTTGAACTTTATTCCTAAAATTATGAAACATTAACATCTTGGGGAGGCACTTAATTAATGATGCAGAACATACATTATTCCACCAGTCCTTTCTCAGTAAATAAATTAAGATGAATAAGGCAATCAATAACTCTTTACAGATCTACTAAACTGAATTATTGGGCTGTCATTATGCTTTTGCTTTCCACTAGTACTTAAGTAGGAATTCATATTAATTGTATAAACAGTACAAAGGTAAGATCCAAGGTTTGACTGTTGCACCTTGAACAAAAGAATGATCTTTCTTGAAACATGATTGCAAAGTAATTGATAAATTGTCACTGTAGCAGTCCTAGTAAACAAACCACATTTTCTGAAAGAATAAATTTAATACTAATATAATAATAATAATTTAAGAAATAATTTATAGCAAAGCAAAATTCCTCTGTAAAACTCACCTTCCCTGCCATGTGAATTTAGGTTAAAAAATCTAGTACAGCACTATAAATATATTATATAATTAAAAACTACTAATTAAAAATATCTGTAAAGTAAGATACTTAATTTACTACATTAATAGATCCACACCTCCCTACACCAATCATTCTCTCTCACAAATACAAACCAGCTTGGGATATATAGAGACATTATCTTCCAATAGAAAGAACAGTGAATAAATAAATATAAAGATGACAATTTGGGAAGAAACAATAGGAAGGGAAGTAGAAATATAGACAATTACGAAAACAGAGAAAAGTTATATTTAAGCATTAGAAAAAAAGCATTTCATTCAGGAAACAATTAGTCTCTTCCAAGCAATCAAAAGCACATAACAAAACATAACACAGATATATTTCAAATAGTGTCTCATCTTTTCCTTTTTTCTTATTAATAGCAATCCATCCATATCACCATTCAATTTTAAATGCAGAACTAATTTTAAAACAATTTCTGGTACAGAATGTCGTTCTGTACAGTTAATTATGTACAATTCTTTTCTAAGAATGTAGAAGAACATGGCTAAAAGTGTTCATTTATTGCATAGAATAACACGCAAAAATGTCTGTTCATATAAAAACGTGAAAATATTGCTGCAGTAGTTGACATTTATCTCCTTACCATCTTCCCAGGTAAAAGGTGGAGGAGATTCAAGTTTAGGCCGTTCAGGTAAGTGCATTCCAGTTTCATTATTATATCCAATTGCTTCAGCCTCTCTTCTAGCTTGCCTCAAAACAACACCTCCTTGATCTCTTAACCGCACAGCAGCCCTGTAGAATATTGTATCTTTTGCATTGTACTTCATACAGTTCTCAATAATAAGGTTGAAATCTTCTTCAAACTCATCTAGATTTTTATAACCTTGGCCATCTAACTGTTTTCTCATAGTAGAAAAATCCATGGGATGTTTGATGTGATCCAAATAATCAGGAACCTGAAATACAGATTTTAAATGGAAGACATGTAGATAGGATGTATGGATAGATAATTATGGGAATGCATGAAACCAAAACATGTATTTTGTTCCATGCACTGAACACAATTAGCTCAGAAGTTAAGTTACACCATTTTAGAACGGGGGTGGGATGGAGAGTGGGGTGTTGTGGTTTCAATCCAGATGAACCAAACCCTTGCAAGATGTCAATCATGCTGGTTTTTATCAAGAGAAATCTGGAGGGGTCTTATAGGATAAATAGAACAAAGCTGATACATTCTGTACTTATTGCATGTCTGTCTGAGCATCTTACTCCACTCTTTTCTCCACCTTAAATTGCATGTTGCCATTCCTTCTGTGTCTTCTAAATTCCAGGAGCGAATATTTAACTGATCAGCAACACTCCTCAATAATCCCATTACTTCCTTTTCTTTACATCTTTTTGTTGAGTGTTACCATCTGAATAGCACTCCTAGTGACGCTCATGTCCAAGTAATCAGCCCACCTTTCCCACAATCATCCCAATGCTTTCCCTTTCCTCCCTTAGACTTTGAATGCTACATCATTCCACTGACCTTCTCTTTTTCCTACTGTCCACATTCTGGACAACTGTCCATGTCTCAACATGTTGGTTTCAATCTGAACACAGGCTGCACAAAACCACCAGTTCTATGCATAGAATATTCTGCACTTTTATATGCACTTTGAATAATATACTGAAATTCAAGATATTGTTTTGAAAAGCTGCAACGGATTATTAGAAAATATTAAGAAAAATCAAAACGGTCTGATTTTATTTTACACTTTTTGACATTTAGAACTTGACTCTTGCATCTTATTCTAAGCATCCTATATTTAAATCAATTTTTTTGGTTTCAAAATGAGTTTAACCTAATTAAGTTAATTTTAACATTTAAGCCTGGATTTCCAAGGAAGAAATGGTGAACAAAGCAACTTGGTTTGAAGTGAAGCAGATGATCATAGTGGAATGAAGATTCAGAAAATAGACTGCTTCTTTGTAATTCCTCTGCAGACAAGGAGGACTTGAAATCACTCACAAGTATTTGAAACAGTTGTTCCTCACAAGGAAACAATAAGGTAACAGTCTCTGCTGGGTTTAGATCTCTGGAAGATGAAGCAATAATCATCTTGCTCAAACCCTGGCTTGGTGCCTCAAAAGAACACTGGATTTCCATATTTTTTAAAATCATTTTTGGAAATGTTTGTTAACTAGTTTTAAGCTATTAGAAGCTTTTGGATTTTATAACACTGAGTTACCTTTAATCCTTAGTGAAAGAAGTTTCAAAATTTAAGGACTTTTTTTTTCTGGAATAAACAGCAAAAGGCTGATTACAGGTAATCCTCAATTTATGGTCATTTGTGTAATGACTGTCCAAAGATGTAACGGACTGAAAAAAACTGAGTTATGACTGGTTCTTGCACTTATGACTGTTGCAGCTTTTCCTGTGGTCAAATGATCGAAATGTGACTGCTTGGAAACCAGCATGTATGGTTTCTGCATCCCAGGGTTTATGTGATCACCATTTGCAACCTTCCAAGAGAACATACAATAAGCAAAATCAATGGGAAAGCCAGATTCACTTAACAATTATACGGCTTGCTTAACAGTGATCATTCCCTTATGGATTATGGCAAAAAAAGGTTGCAAAATTGGCATCTTCTCTTAACAGCTGTATTGCTTAGTGATGGAACTTCAAATCTGAATGCTGGTTGTGAGGACTACCTGTTAATCTTTGATGTTGGAAAGTTGCAAATGGATTAAAATCCATATGGATTCAAAATAAGACTTTGGATTTAATTAGAAGGAATCTTTCCCATGTAAAAATGGCTTTGAATTCTTTAAAAAAGTGTTAAATAAGAATTTAAAAATCCCAGATTACAATGTCTGTTTAGTGACTGTTCAAAGTAATCACAATACTGAAAAAAATCTGGTCTAGACACTTATAATCAACCTTCACACTTGCAACACCTGTATGTTCAATGGCAACCATCTCACATTTGTGCTTGATCGCAGGTCAATCCTAAGGTCATGTGACTATAATTGATGGCTCCCCTCCCCCGTTTCCAGCAGAATTTCACAAGAATGGGTTTGCACCTATGATCACAGAGTTTGCTTCAACTGCAGCTTTGCTTAAACAACTGTGATGATTCATTTAATGACCATCATAAAAATCAGGTCTGACTTGACTAACAATTCTAAGGTTTGAAGTTCTTATCAAAATTGTGGTCCTTATTCTAGGAATATTTGTAAATAAAAGTAGATGAAACTAAAGATTACAATTAAAGAAGAACACCCAAACATGACTTATAATAGTAAATGAAGCAAAATATTTTAAAACAAACTGAAGGATGTTTTTGAACAATGGACCCAGAACTTCATTTTAAGAATGCCTGCTTATATAGACTGTATTTAAAAGTACTACAAAAAAGAACCAAGGTTGATTTGAAATTGAATTCAAAAATGACAATTTACAAGAATGACAAGGAAAAAAAATGTCATACTGGATATACAAAAGAAATGAACTGTTGTTTTAATAATAAAAAGGGATAATTTTCCTATACCAGAATACAAAAAAAAAAAAAAGGCTTGTTGACGCTTTGTAGAATGATATGAGAAAGGACAAAGAAAAAATATGGAAAGAAATAATTATTTGAAGGGATTAAGAGCAAGACTGTTAGAAATAAATGGAATGAATATAAAGTAAATAAATACAAAATAAATATGTAGTTATCTGTGGTAACCCTTAATGGACATTTGTTGAAATCAAGAGAGAGATGACTAAATTTTATAAATTTGTTGTAGATAAGAGATGGGATATGGAAGAGATCATTTGTTGTATTTTAAAAGAAGGTAATATTATTAAATTGTTTATACTATGAAGGGAGAAGTAATCTCTTTATATATTTTTTCTTTACCATACTCTTACTTTTTCTTTCTTTTAATTTTTATGATTTTTTTTCTTTACCTTTTATTTTTTCTGTTTATTTTTCTAGGTTTGTATTAGATAGTACTATTGTACTTCAATAAAATTATTTTTAAAGACATTTAAGTCAAATAATCTAGAACTATGTGTTCAAAATATTAATCTCTCAGATTTTAATATTATATGCATTCAAAATTTAAGAAGATACTGAAGCAATTCAGCTTTTCTCTTTCTAAATTTAATGTAGTTAAGTTATATTTTATTAAACTTTTTTAGTCAAAACAATGATAGATGTTATGCCTCTTACATTCTACTGCATCAATGAATTTTTTGATATATTAGAAATGTTTAATTTTACCTCTTTAAGATTCACTGGTTGAGCAAATATACGAGCAGAATCCTTTTCCTGTAGCTGGTCCAGTACTGAACGCAATAATACAGTAAATGGAGTCAGTTGAAGCTCCAAGGCAACCTGTTCCACTTTGATCTGCACAACAGAGGACAATTATAATCTATTTTATCATCACTGGCTACTTTGCTCCTATAATAATAAATCATGATTAAAGCTCAAACTTAAACTATACTTAGTGATAAATTCTACCACTGTAATGAAACTTTCACAATGAAGTTATAGGCAGAAGGAATATGCATATGTGCATAACTTTTTAATACCATAGGAAAATAGGTAACATTAATTAATTGCAGAAATTATTTATTTAGCATTTACTTGATCAGTTCAGACTTTAATTACATACTTTATAGTGCACTTGATCACTTAACAAATCCAACTCTGGCATTTGTTAATAAATTGTTAAGCCTGGTAGGAGGCAAACTGACATGTAAGAGTACATCTGACATGTAACTATAATGCTCTCTTAAAAGATTCAATAAACACCATACTTAACCTTGGAATTGATTAAAAAGGAGATAAGGCTAATTGTTTTTGTTTGCTTTTTAAAGCTATCAATTCTGAAACACAATTTAACAAAAAATAACCATAAAATAGTAATTATATATTGATTATTCAGGTTTCTCCTCCTTTTCCAACAAATGATTGTTTTTCTACACTTTAAAAAAATATATGATTTAGCAGATATGATGATGTAGGCATCATTAATTTATAATATAGATTTATTATTTCCTTTTCTTTGAGAATAAGTTTTAAAAATATTTACTAAGCTGAACCAAAATTAATCTTCATTAGAAATATATACATATACATATACATATACATATACATATACATATACATATACATATACATATACATATACATATA